TGATGATGATGATGATGATGATGATGATGATGATGATGATGATGATGCTCATGCTCATGTTCATGCTCATGCTCATGCTGATGCTGCTGATGACGATGCTGCTGCTGATGATGATGATCATGATGTTGATGCTGATGCTGCTGCTGCTGATGATGATGATGATGATGATGATGCTGCTGCTACTGATGATGATGATGATGATGCTGCTGCTGCTGATGATTATGATGCTGCTGATAATGATGCTGCTGCTGCTGCTGATGATGATGATGATGATGCTGATGCTGCTGCTGCTGATGCTGCTGCTGTTGATGATGATGATGATGATGCTGATGATAATGATGCTGCTGCCGATGATGATAATGCTGATGATGATTATGATGATGATTATTATGATGATTATTATGATGATTATGATGATGACGACGACGACGACGACGACGACGATGATGATGACGACGTGAAACACAAGTTCTTTGTGATGTGAATCACTCGATTCATCATGCTTCATTCGACCGGCACAACTGCCAGGCCCCATCTCCAGGCGGCGGAGTTGGACGTACGACGGAGCTTCCCACACGGAGACACCACCAAGCCCTGAGCCCCCAAGAGGATGCAAGATCTGTATGTGAAGTATGGCAAAATACCAGTGGAATGAGTCATCAGAACTATGCAAGTTGCAGAAGTTCGGCAGTGGTGCAATACTTCCACCCGAGGATTTTAGAATGGCAGGGGATATGCTGGATATACCGGTAGAATGGTACATTTTGGCCGGAGGCCCAACACATGATACTGGAAAGTATTCTAACTACACAACCTTTGAACCAAGACCTGGCTGGCTATTCCATTTCAACTGGCCCTTGCGTCTACTTAATATAGTGTGTGTATGCATTTGTATGTATGTGTTTGTGGCCCAAACAAAACAATAGAGAGTGCATGTTTGTCACCCACCTTGAACAACTCCAAGGCTTTTCGAGGTTCTTTTTGTTTCTCCTGGCAAAGAAAAGACCCGTCTCCGGAGTCTCCAGAATTCTTTAAGTCCACGGATCTTAGAAACCACGAAAAGCACCAACTTCATTCACAAAATCATCACCAACACCATTGCCACATGCCTTTGTTCTACACTGTTGAGCATTTGCTTTCAGGTGGAAAAAAACACATGTGGTCCTCTTTCGCCTCTGTCCACACTCTCCGAGCACCGCATCGCTTCGTTTGGCGCCACTTTGGAGGCGCTGCATCTCGAGCGTCAAGAGCCTCTCGGGCTGCCAAGAAAAGGGACATGGTACCCACAAGAGCCGAAATTGGTGAGACACATTCGAGGATTTAGATGACAGTCATCATGATTGGCAGGATTTGTAATCTGAACTCTTAGTAATGGTTCTTTTTATGTCCAGCTCAAACAGGGCCGGAGTGAAGCTCCTGTGGCGCCTCTCGGATTCCTCACCGCACCGAGGGAGAAGCGGTCCAAAGCTTCCTCCAAGTGGCGGAGGCGTCGGCGGAGCCGAACACGGCAGCAGGCGGGTGGCTCGAGCGGCCGCGGCTCCGAGCCCTGCGGTGCTAGGAGGGGTGAGGACCCGCTGCTCCTTGTCATGTTCTCTTTGATTCCCCAAACAGTGTGGACACACCGGGGGTTCTTACGGTAGATGTAAAGGGGTGTCTAATCATGGTCACTGATGGACATGGTGGAGTTTTATGTGTTGTTTTGGGGGAACGATTAAGAGGTACGATGGTCAGGAATTCGAGGGGTACGAGGAGGTGAGGTTCTGCGTTGTACGAGCTCCTCTGACGTTGGAGACTTCATCGCATCGGACAAAAGAACAGCAACTCATGCAGAGGAGTTGTCCAGAGGCATTGAGGTGTCCTGCAACTGCTGTGCGTTGGAAAGATGTACAGACAGTATTCACAGTATACTTAACTGTCTGTATTGGCATACTCCACCAGACCCTGAGTATATCCCTTTCTCCTTTTGGTGTAGAAGTTTTTTTTTAAACAAAACCACTAGAGCTTAAGCCCTTGGCAACGGACCATATTGAACAGCCAGATCTTTTTCTCCGTTCACCCGGGTTTTTTTTAGCCATCTAACAATGCACCTTTTGGGGGAGAGACATCTCGGCGCATTGGTCCAGCGGGCTCTGGGGAGTTACTGGGCCACAGAGCACGGTGGATGCTGCGCTTTGGAATGAGCAACACATAGGAAAGCCAGCAGAAGACCTGCGGTTTCGCAACGGGGCTGTCAGGTGGGTTAGGAAAACTGGAGGAAAACACCGTTCGCTGGCACCGTTCGCTGGAGTGCTGTTGTCGGGTAGGTTTCACTGCGTGTGATGAACATTTTGTAGTTCCTGGTTCCTGATGACCTGACAAAAAAAGGATCCCAGCAAAACATGCGTCACATTCAATCACATCCCATATGCCACTGACCTTTATGACCCAAAAAGAACAAGGAACAGAGACGTCATCCTTCAGACACTGCGCATCCATCCATACCACTCGCGATGCCATACGTCAAGCGCAACCCGACGTTGCGAGGCCGTGTCGGGCGCAAAGCCGTGGGGGTTCTGCTGGCGTTGTTGGCTGGCACCTTGACCGGTGTCCAGAGCCGCTCGGAGCATGGTGGGGCCATGCGGCCGCATACATGGTGGGGCCGTATGGGGCCGGGAATGAAGGATGATGCGGGTGGGGTGCGAGTTTGCTGGAAGTCAGCTAGGGTGGGAGGATAGAACGACCCACGAATGTGGGAGGTGTGAAACACATGTTGCATCGATTTTGGAGTCCATTCCACATTCGTTGAGAAAAA